GTGTGTGGGACAGAAACCCCCTTCCCCCCTCCCACCCATGCATCAAAGCTCCCCTGGAAACAACAGGGGACCACTGGGCTCCCTCTGCTCAGAGCCCAGGATGAAAGAGGCAGGCAAGGCCCAGGCCTGGCCAGAACCTGGCATTTAGACAGGGGCAAAGCCAGAACTATTAGCTGTGAAAGCACCACCCACAGCTGGAGGGACACCGGCATTGTGCATCCCAGTCACCCCAGTTCTCAGCCCCAGGACTCTGGGGCAAGAGGTTTACTCCACTCCAGGCCTGCACCCGCTGATGCTCTGCTTCCACTCAGTTTCTGAGCACAGAAAGATCATTTTTTAGCCGAGAAGAACCCAGCCAGAACTCCTACTGGAAGTTTCTAAGCTCATCCTGTGACCAGTGGTTGCACCCTTACCCTGCTAATGTTGTATGACACCCCTGAAAGGGTCTCAGGGCACCTGGTTGTGAAGCCCTGGCCTAGATTCTGGAAGTCCCAAGCAGAACAGGTGCAGGTTGGGGCTGTGAGGAGGCACAGGTGGGGGCAGGCCCTGAAGCCCAGCCAGACCAGAGAAATGTAAACCATGGGAAGCCCCATTACAAGCGTGCCTGGAGCCCGCCCAGGTTCTCTAGCACAATAAACACTATTCAAACTCAGCGCAGTTAAAGGAGACGCCAAGTAGAATTCCCAACCAAACTGGGTTTATTTCTGGGACGCTTGCTACATCCAGCTACAAGAACGGAGCCAGTCCAGAACACCCAAGCTCAGGGTGCACCCGCAGGGGCCAGGTCTTCCACACTTTGGCCCAAGGCGACTGCTGGGAAACAGGGTTGTCATCTCTCTGCATCCCAGAAGCAGGTCGGCCTGGCTTACAGAGCAGCACCCCTGGCTCCGACATCCTATGCTCCACTTTGAAGCCTCAGCAGCAGCTCCAGAGAAGATGTCTACTTAGACCTCTGCCTCATCTTTCTCCTCTTGCGCTTCAGCCTGGGAGAGACAAGGGTTTCACTCTATCACAGCAACGTCCTCACACCCCAACCCCACCCTTGCAAGCCCCAGGGCAGGAAAGTATTAGCACAGGAGCTGGCTAAAGAGCAAGCTGGGATAAGGGCTTTACCAGGTCCCCAGGGCCAGCCCAGCTTTTACAGAATTGACCCATTTGCACTATTAAGGAAATGGGTGAATGCAAAGCTACACACATGCACTGCACCGCCCCAGGGCAAGAGATGCAGGACAGCATCACCCTGCCCCATGAAGCAGGAGGGGTCCCCGCACAGCAGCACCAAGACAAACTATCTTTACAAGCCCCTCAGTCTCAGACATCAATGCAAAGCCTCTGCAACAGGAGCTAACTGGGTTTGAGCCTCGCTGCCATTTTAAATCACTTGAAATGAACAGGGACATTATGAGGCACCAATTAGTTATTAAAGCTTTTCTAATGCCATTTATAACAGCCGGACAAAGCCTATTCCTGCACTCGCCTTTCCAGCTCGAGATGGATGTTTTGGGCCTACCCATGGGGACAGCACCAAGGGCACCAGCCGATTTGGGCCAGAAGAGCCCTTTTGCTGCCATTTTAAATGCTCCCCCACTTCATAGGGAGATGCAGGACACTAGCAGGAGCTGCTCTGATCCGGCAACTCCACCAGCCTGTGGTGAACGCAGCCTGGCTCCGCACCTGCAGGTCCTCGCTTGCCGCCACCAACACAAGCAGCTTTTGCGCTGTTCAAGTCGACCGAACAATTTGACCCAGCCGGTGGCTTTTTTAAGTGACGTGGGGAGCAACATCTTTGGTTATCAACTGTGAGCCTGATCCAGCCAAGGCCCTGCTGCAGGAGGGAAGCCACCCTTGAACTCGAGACAGGTTCTTAGGGATGGGCCTTTATGCCCTGCTCCCAGGAGGGGAGGCCCACCTCCTGCCAGCGAGGGGCAGAGGCCCTTGCACAAGGATGATGTTGGGAAGAGCCAGGACCTCAGCCCAAAGCTTTGTCCCACCCCCCACAGGTGTTGTTCTGCACAACCCTGCGCCCCGTCCGCAACCCCGGCACGGAGAGGCTATGGACAAGGGCATTGGGAACCAGGAGCAACTGCAAGGCTGCCTTCCAACCCTGATTTTAGAGCTAAGAGGGGACGTCCGAGGCCAGCCACAGAGCCAGGAGTGCATGCAAGGCCCGAGCGGCGCGGACACCTACCTGCGCATCCGCTTCTTTCGCCACTGGAGGAAGGAAGCAGAGAAGGAAAACACAAGTCAGAGCAGCCCCCGCAGCCCCACGAGGAACGGAGCCAGGTCTGGCCTGGGGGACGGCGCAAGGCAGCCCAGCGACACCAGGCACGTGGGGTCTCCCTCCTGCCCCCGCCGGGGCAGATATGAGCAGAGCTTCCCCCCC